AAGGCGATTCACCTGAGCCCAGTACACCTAGACTCGCCTTGGCATTTGAGGCTAGCCTCCGGGGTTCTGTGACAAGGGCTGTCATGAGGGCTGGGCAGTCTCAAGCCAGGAAATTCTCACCAGGCTGGTTTCCAGGTGGCACATGAAAGCTCTTCTCTCTGGCTAACCCTGCAAGTGGAGGACTCCTGGGAGCAATTGGGGCATTTTCTGGAGAGCTGGTGTAAAAGCTCACACTTTTTACTAAACCCTCCACCTCACAAGAGGTCCAGGGCTCTTCCAGATTGCTTCTGGCACACTAACCAGCTTAGTGGTTTTTGAACTCTGTTTTCCGGAGGGTCATGTTAAATGTAGTTCCTCAAAGTATGGGGCACATACTAGTAGGGAGCCTCAGGATGACTTTAGGGGGACAGGGACAAACTTTATTTATTTATTTATTTTTACAGTATCACTCTCAGCATAGTGACTTTTTGTTTTGTTTTGTTTTTTGAGTCAGAGTCTCGCTCTGTTGCCCAGGCTGGAGTGCAGTGGTTCACTGCAACCTTCGCCTCCTAGGTTCAAGCGATTCTGCTGCCTCAGTCTCCTGAGTAGCTGAGATTACAGGTATGCACCACCACGCCCAGCTAAGTTTTGTATTTTTAGTAGAGAAGGGGTTTCACCACGTTGGCCAGGCGGGTCTTGAACTCCTGACCTCAGGTGATCCACCCACCTCGGCCTCCCACAGTGCTGGGATGACAGGCGTGAGCCACCGCACCTGGCTGAGCCTTGATTCTTAAAACAATCCACATTTTGCCTTCACTGCCACACCATACACTGGTATATTCTGATCTGCTATTTTCTTTTCACTGCACCAGCCGTCCCCAGCTAAGGATTCTTTGTCTCATCAACAGTTCTAAATGGGTGATTCTGTCGTTCCATGGGGCTTCTGACCACCACAGACACCTCAAAGAAACAACGTGGATGATAACGCTTTTTAAATCACAGTTGTGAGTTTTTCATGGACCAAGAACTCTTACCCACTGCAGCTGCCAAGACAACCTCACCCTAATCTAGGTTAAGAGCATGGATTTCTCTCTCTCTCTCTCTTTTTTTTTTTTAATAGAGATGGCGGGTGGGGGAGGGGTCTCACTATGTTGGCCAGGGTGGTCTTGAACTCCTGGCCTCAATCAGTCCTCCCACCTGGGCCTCTGAACATGCTGGGATTACAGGCATGAGCCATACGCCCGGCCTAATTTCTCTTATTTCTTTTCTGTCAATCAGGAGGGCACCTGAATAGGAAAAATGACTAAAGAGGGTTATATGGAGCCCCCAGGGGACACTGTGTCATTAAGTCTTACATAGCCAAGACCCATCTCTACAAAAATAAACTAGTGCCCCAAGAGGTTTCCTCCTAGTCACAGGTGGAATTAAATGCTCCAAGAGCGTTCCCCAAATCCAAACAACACAATTAAAAACTGCTGTGAGTAAAGCCAAGCTCATTAGGATTGGATTAGGTCAAGACTATTAGGCCTGACTGTCTTAGGGAAAATGCTTAGATGTATACAAAGGGAGAAATAGCCAGAAATTTTCTTTTTCTTTTCTTTTTCTGAGTCAGAGTCTCGCTCTGTTGCCCAGACTGGAGTGCAGTGGTGTAATCTCAGCTCATGCAACCTCCACCTTCTGGGTTCAAGCAATTCTCTTGCCTCAGCTTCCCGAGAGCTGGGATTACAGGTGCACGCCACCACACCCAGCTAATTTTTGTATTTTTTGTAGACACAGGGTTTTGCCATGTTGGCCAGGCTGGTCTCAAACTCCTGGCCTCAATTGATCCACCTGCCTTAGCCTACCCAAAGCGCTGAGATTACAGGCGTGAACCACTGTGCCCAGCCGGATTTTCTATAGGTAGAATTTCAGTTGATTATTCATAAATTTTATTCTACTGTTTCAAAAGTACAATTCAAATGGACAATTATTTTTGTCCATTTCAAATAACAGTACACTACTTTTTCATTCTTCCAACCCGATCTTAGGGACTCATTTCAGAGTCTCTGTCAACAGTCAATAAGCAGCAATAATGAAGCACTGTCTCTAACACCCAAGAAGTGCCAGGTGGTACACTTACATGAAACCTGATAATCTCGTCTTTACTCATACCGAATTTTAATTGTTATTTGGATTCTGAGTATGCTCTGCTGGGGTTGAGGGGGGATTTACTCCACCTGTGCATACAAGTAAAACTCTTTGGGGATTAGAAAAAAAAATTTTTAGAGATGGGGTCTTGCTATGTTGCCCAGGCTGTAGTGTGGTGATGCAAACATAGCTCACTGCAGCCTCCAACTCCTGAGCTCAAATGATTCTCCTGCCTTAGCCTCTCAAGTAGCTGGGACTACAGGTGGTCACCACTGCACCCAGCTAAGTTTTGAATTTTTTATAGAGACAGGGTCTTGCTATGTTGCCAGGGGTGGTCTGGAACTCCTAACCTCAAGTGATCCTCCCAGCTGAGCCTCCCAAAGTGCAGAGATCACAGGCATGAACCACCATGGCCAACCTCTTTGCACATCTGAGCATATTCATTAATTAGCACTTTTTTATTTAGTTGTTATTTTTCTAAGTTTGCATTTTGTTTTAAAAAATTAGCATTTCCAAGTCTTTGATGGGAAGTATAATTTGAAAATAATTTTTTTAAGTTACCCGAGTTGAGTCATTACATAAATTTCATACAAATTTCCTATTGAACATGTATCTCACAATGAAAAGAATAAAAGGAGATGTAGTAAAATGATAATACTAGTTATCGCCAGCTGGGAGGAGTACACAACAGTGAGGTAAGACTGGAGCCTTTATAAAAGTGCAGCATGGGCCAGGTGCATTGGCTCACGCCTCGGCCTCCCAAAGTGCTGGGGGCTGAGGCGGCTGGATCACCTGAGGCCAGGAGTTAGAGACCAGCCTGGCCAACATGGTGAAACCCCGTCTCTACTAAAAGTACAAAAATTAGCCAGGTGTGGTGGCAAGCCCCTGTAATTCCAGCTACTTGGGAGGCTGAGGCAGGAGAATCGCTTGAACCCAGGAGGTGGTGGTTGCAGCAAGCTGAGATCACACCACTGCCACTCCAGCCTGGGTGACAGAGACAGACTCCATCTCAAAAAAAGAAAAAAAGAAAAAGCAACATGGTAACTAGAGAAAATGAAGGAAAAACATTAAAATTAAAAAGACCAGTCTGGACAACATAGGGAGACCCTGTCTCTAAAAAAAAACTTAAAAATTAGCTGAGTGTGGTAGCATGCCCCTGTGGTCCCAGCTACTCGGGAGGCTGAGGTGGGAGGATCCCTTGAACCTGGAAGTTGAGGCCACAGTGAGCCATGATCACTCCACTACATTCCAATCTGGGTGACGGAGCAAGACCCTGTCTCAAAAATAAATTAATAAAATAAAATAAATAAAATGAAAAGAGATGCAGAGTTTGCCCAATTATTATCACTAAACCAAAGTAGT